ATATATTGAATAATAATAATAATAAATAATATTAAAATAATTGATGGGATTAATAATTATTTTCATTTATTTTATTTTATTGAAATGCGTGTTGATGTTTGTATTTTTCATTTATTTTGTTTTATTAGGTGGTAGGCACTGGTAGCTACCAATGTTATTTAAGTCGTACCCATGTCGTTTAAAAAACTGCAAATAAAAATATGTAAGGCACTTTAATGTCAATATGATGTCGTTGCCTTATTTTGGGTTATTGAAATGGTCTTTTAGAGATGGAGGTGGTTTCAGAAACATTTAATTGATTTTTAAACATTTATCTAAGTTAACATCCTCCATTGTCTTATCATGTAAAACTCTAATCCATTAAATAGGACATTGTATGCAACAATTTACCAGGTAAGCACTAACCGGGTAAAACTCTCGGTCTTTATCATAGCGCTTATCAGGTAAGATCATTGGAAATTCCATGTTCATGTGTAAGGTAAGTGGTGCGGTAAGCCCTTATCGGATAAACATTTAGGGGCCCTTTAAAAAACACTTATCTTAGTAAACGCGTTCCAGTTCAATTACCTTACCAGATGAATATAACAAGAACCGAGAAATCGAGAATCTTACCCGATAAGAGAGAAGACAGGGATCAAGAGTTTTATTGTTAAATGAGGGTGATGACTCCTACTCCGTAAGTGCTTATCGGGTTTAAGAAGCTTATCAACAATCAATTTTGATGGCCAATAATTAGATTCCTAAAGTACATGCTTATTTCAGAATAAATCTTTGTAGCATTACTTGTTTCAACTTTCAAGTTCAGTTACAGAACTAGAACAAAGATTGCACACTTATGTCACTGATAAGCTTCAACACAAGGGTAAACTGTGTACCTGGCTTTGATGTCGTGGATATAGGGTTTACATAGATTTGATGTCCTTAATCAGCCGCTCGAAATTTGAATAAGATGATCCGCCTTCCATCAAGCATTGTTTTGCAAAGTTCGCCATCTGATCCGCTGACCTCCTAAACTCATCTCTCCTTTCCTCCATCAAATCTCTCACCATCTTCCCTACAATCACTCTGTCGCAACTATCCTTCATGTCCAGACCCAACTTCCACACTTCCCCCACAAATCTACTGTTCACTTGTTGGTCCAAGAAATAAGGCCAACAAATCATTGGCACGCCTTCAATCAAACTTTCCAGCGTCGAATTCCACCCACTGTGTGTTAAAAACCCCCCCACGGCACTGTGGGCCAAGACCTCCTCTTGTGGTGCCCAACCGATGATGTAGCCTCTCTCTTTTGTGCCTTGAGCCAGTTCCGGTGGGATTGCAGTCGAGTCACTGGTGACCGAATCTGGCCGAACGACCCACAAGAAACGGGACCCACTGTTCACCAGCCCATGCCAGAACTCCATGTACTGCTCCTTTGTCATTACAACAAGACTTCCGAAGCTAACATAAATCACGGATTTTGGTGGTTGTGAGTCCAGCCATGTAAGGCAACTCATGTCTTCTTTCCACAGGCTATTTGTAGAAGGCAGTGATGAGGATGATTCTCCTGCTAGTTTATACTTCAGATGGGAATGCAGTGGGCCAATGGTGTATAGATTCGGACAAGAAGTTTGTATTTGGGAAAGTATTGGACACTCTAGATCATCAAAGGTGTTGAGTATAAGCCCATGAGCTCTTGGGTTTTCTGTAACTTCGGGGAGATAGAGCTTTAAGTTCGGGTCCGATAAGTTGCCAGAACGACAGAACAATGGAAGATCACGGCGCCTTAAGAATCCTTCCATGCCTGGAATGCTCTTTATTGGTGTGTCCAAGTCATTTCCTATTAGAAATGGATTAATCAAATAAATCAAATACCAAGCCTTGTACTATGACTGAAATAAGTCAATTCTTTCACGAAAAGAACTAATTATCTTCTTAAATCAAAACTTATGGCGGCTGCAAACCAGAAATGGTAAAGATAGAAGAAGATAGCGCACCTGCAAATGGGAGTTCGCCAGATCCAATGAGCTTAGGAAGACAAAAGAAAACCCACAGACAACAAGCACTGATTGTACGAACAAATATAATGGGTATTCCTACATCATTAGCTACATCACAAGTATACCCCATAATTCCATCTGCAATTATACAAGTGACCGGTCTGCGTAAATCTGAATTTAGTTTGCCAGAAGTCAAGAGATCATTGAAGAGGATTTTGTTTTTGGTTTTTAAAGAGTCAAACATTTCCATAAGTACATCTCCAGAGCGCGGATGATCATCTGGAAGGCCATCGGATATGGTTTCTAAGCGGAAACCTGGATAACCATCAAAGCGGGACTGTATATTGGAGTATTTGAGGAGTCGGGCATGGATATGATCAGTGACAAGGAAGGTGACATGGAGACCCGAGAGGCATAGAAGCTCGGCTAGCTTGAACATGGAGTTCACAGGGCCTTGCAATGGCAAGGGGAATATCAGCACATGAGGTGGGAGTGTGTCTTGATCCATTCTGTTGTTTATGACTCTACACAAGGAACATTAAAATCTTATTTCATGTCATAAATCATACATTCCTATCTAAAACACTAAATCACATATATTCCACTTTTAGATCATATTTCAGATTAACATTTTTAGATCACAATTTTGTCCCATAGAGAAATTTCTTTTACAAATAATGTAGTTACCAATTGATTTCTATAACTAACACCATGTATATTGAAGTTGCAGTTAAAGACTAATTTATTTGATACAAGATAATGTATATTAATGAACTATATAAACCATATAAATTTTGTGAATATAAACCTTCTGAGCGTTGTAAATGGTCATGCTGAAGCCAAATTGTAACCAGGTATGAAGTACATTAAGTCAAAGCACAATTAAGGTGCGACCAACAGCAACTCATCAGCTAATCATCTATTCACAGTAAAGGCGTCCCATAAACCTTGTTGAAGAATCACGCATGACGTATAACTTATGATATTGAATGGCAAGGGGTGACAAAGACAATCAGATAAATCACACAAGCACAATATATCGACAGATACAGTTAGGGATGGCAACGGGGCCGGGGGCATCGGGGATTGCACTTCCCATCCCCGTCCCCGATCCCCACTCCCCACTCCCCATCCCCATCCCCATCCCCATCCCCATCCCCGCTGGGTTATGTGATTACATCCCCATCCCCATCCCCACGGGGAATCGGGGATTTTTCCCCGGATGTGAAATTGCATTTTTTGCTTGAATAAAGGGCATTATATTTATTGATTTGTAAATGTTTAAAGCTAGAAATTTCAGTAAAACCAAGTTGAATTATCACGACAAGTTATCAACCATAAAGTTTAGCCCACTAATAAAAACCAACTTACTATATATATTTTAAATTAGGGAATATGGGAAAATAAACTGAAAAGATCTTGTATATCGAAATTGGGAATCGGGGTAACATTTAATATTATATATATATATATTTCGGGGCCGGGGCCGGAGACCCGAAGGGTATTCCCATCCCCGCCCCCATCCCCGTTTTTAAATTTGGGGATTCCCCATCCCCGTCCCCGGTCAACTCGGGGATTCCCCGGTCAAATCGGGTACGGGTATCGGATTCCCCATCGGGTGCGGGTTTTTTTGCCATCCCTAGATACAGTCATACAGATCCGATCATAATCCGCGGAGTAGGATTTTTCAGGGTCATTTTGATTTTAGATCTGATCATAATCTTGATTTTAAAAAAAGGATAATTAAAAGTTAAGTTTCTCGCTCATAAGTATTAAAGTGCATGTACATTCACCCAACAGTAAGGAAGAACTTGATTAAATTCAAACCTAGAAAGGTAGAAATAAAAACTCCAATAATCATCATCTTAACCAGAAACCAGAAACCTTACATCAAATACAAAATATACACGCAGAAGCAGTCGTAATCACAATAAGTACCTTTGGGATTTAACACAGCTGATTGATGTACTCGAGGAGTGAAGAGACGACGACGAAGACCCTAACGGTTTGTTATTAGTTTGGGAGAGAAGAAGAAGAAATGGAAAGAAGGCCTCATCTGAGTATTTTTATTTTATGAATTGACTTGTAAACGAAAGAAATTGACGAAACCAAAGAAAACAAGTTTTTTATTTTTTATTTAAGGGCATATAATATAAATGAAATGAAATGAAATATAATATATGGTTTTTACAAATATATTTTCCAAAGTTCATTTTGTAAAACAAATATATGGTTTTCTTCGGGCTTCTTGTCTGGCCCATAGGTGGTTTGGATTGGGCCAATAGCGTATAGGTTCGGCAAATGGATTGAATTCGAGAGAGTATGGGTCCATCCCATGGGCTCGAGGAAGCTCTTGGATTTGTTTCATTAGGATTAGATGCTTCCAGAAAGGATTAGCAAAGTCATCATGCTTGCGAGATCTCCGCCGGTGAGAATACCTTCCAAGCCGGGAACACCTTTTATGAAAAAATGCTCATCGTTTCCTGAATTAAGAGTAAGATTCACGATAGAAATGTGAACGAGCAACTAATTTCAAACAACAGATTTCTGTAATTCACAGTAAGTACCTCCGATTAGATTAGAAGCTTCACCGGCTCCGATGTGGCTAGGAGGATTCGAAAGAACCCAAAGACAGCTAGGGCTTAATGTGAAAGCAGGAACCACAGGAAAGTGAATCTCATTAGCAACGTCCCATACACGAAACTCATGATTCCATCGGAAATAATACAGCTCGATGGTCGACGCTAATCAGAAATCAACCTTCCCGAAGCCAGAAAGTCTCTGGAAAACGGCTTCGCCAGGGTCTCAAAAGATTCTAACAACTCCATGGTATCAGAATATCAGATCGTGAATGCTCTGGTGGCAGTCCATCGGAGATGATCTGGAGACGGAAGTTTGGATATGGATTTAAGAAATATGACGTCTAGACCGGAGATGCAGAGGACCTCTGCAGCTCTGCTAGATCAAACATGGGGTTTAGGTGGCCATTCAACAGGCGAACGGAAGACGAGGATGTGAGGCGGGAGGGAGATGATCCCATCATCCATTTAACCTTTCTTTCCTCTGTGCAAAATAAATGTGTCTTATTGATATACTACGAACATAATAATCTTCTCCAAATCTATAAATAGTAATTCCCACCAGACCCCAAATTTTATAATTTAATTAATTAGATTTAAAACAATAGAAAATTATTATAGATCAATAATTGTAGTGATTAAGTGATTAAAAAAAATTAGATTTAGTCGAATATTTATGCCAAAAAATTAGATGCAGCCCATGAAACAAAGAAAATATTTTTTTTTCTCTCAGTAAGCGTGAATCCAATTATTTGGTCCCTTTTCAAAAGTCATTAATCATTTTTTATGGCAACATTATTTGTACGAGTTCGAGTTTATCGTCACAAAATTTTGAATCGGACAAAATTATTCCTTTGAAGTAATTCATGATTTGATTCACACGAGTGAGTGATAAGGATGGAGTCTTAAAACTCAGTGCAACCTCTATAAGATGGACTACGTCGCCTTTTGCATATTACAAGTTCATTGATTTAACGTCTTCAACAAGCCGATTCAAATCCATATACGAAGATCCATCTTGTGCAACACTTTGAGCACCTGACTCCGCCAATGGTTTTACCGACCGAATAAACTCATCTCTTTTCACATGAATAAGATCATTCACCGCCTTCTCGATTATAACTCTATCACATGTATCTTTTATGTCTATTCCAACCTTCCACACCTCGCTCACAAACCGGCTATTAACTTGTTGATCCACATAAAATGGCCAACAAATCATTGGTACTCCTTCCATTATACTCTCCATGGTCGAGTTCCATCCACCGTGTGTCAAAAACCCTCCGATGGCTGGATGGGCTAGGACCTCCTCTTGTGGAACCCAAGTCGCTATAAATCCCCTTTGTTTTGTTTCATCCACAAGATTTTGCGGGACTTGACTATCATCATACTCTCCAAGAACCGAACCCGGCCGTTGAACCCACAAGAAAGGTTTTCCACTGTTCACTAATCCTTGCCATATTTCGAAGAATTGATCCACCGTCATCCGTGCCATGCTTCCAATACTAACATAAACGACTGATTTTGCTGGTTGCATATCGAGCCACGAGAGGCAAGTTCGGTTTTCTTCCCATAGACTGTTTGAAACATCGGATTGCTGCTTAAGAGTCGTTGTTTTGGATGCAACAGCGAGGCGGTTCTTGTGTAAAGTGTGCAGTGGACCTATGCAGTAAATGTTTGGGCAGAGATTGCGCATGTGAACGAGTATGGATGCATCCAGTTCATCGAATGTATTGATAATGACACCATAAGCACGAGGAACATGTTGAGCTTCATTCATTATGATTTGCATAACATGATTAGCTAGGTTATCAATGCGATAAAAGCCTGGAAGATCCCGGCGACGTAGAAAAGTTTCCGTGCCTGGAACGCTTCTTATTAGCACATCCAGATCGTTACCTGAATCAAATCAACGGAAGAGATCACAAACAGAAACAGAACGAGTTTCATTGCTAATTTGATAACATGACTATAGTGTATCATATATGACAATTACATCAAATTGATTAAGATTCTTTTGATCAATGCTTCAAATTAATTGAATCGTTAATAAGTTGATAACAGTTTAAGCAATTAGATAGATATATAATTAGTTGTATTGGAGTTCACCGGCGGTAAAAGAAAAAAAAGGTAGCTCACCGTTGAACGGAACCTCGCCGGCTTCGATGAGCTTAGGGAGGCACAAATAAGTCCAAAGGGCGCAAGGACTCACAGTTTCAAAATAAATCAAAGGAATCTGAATCTCTTCAGCCACATCAAGTGCAAACGAAAAGGATCCGTCCGGTATGATAACCGTCACAGGACTAGCAGATTTGGAACTGAAGCATCCAGAAACCATCATCTCTCTGAAAGCCGGCTCGGTCACGGTTCTCATTCCTTCACACACTTCCAGAAAGCGTTCGCTGGAACGAGGATGATCGTGAGGGAGTCCGTCGGAGATAGTCTGGAAATGGAAATTAGGATAGCGGCTGAATCGTGACAAGACATTGGTGTGACGGAGGAGAGTACGTTGGATGTGATCGGTATTGAGAACGGTGACGGAGATGCCGGAGAGACAGAGTAGCTCTGCTAATTTGAGCATACAATTGACAGGGCCTTGCATTGGCAAAGGAAAAATCAGTACATGAGGAGCCATTGAAATTGAGAGTGTTTGACAATGGAGGAGGGTGTATGATTTATTTGAACAAGATAATGTTATATTTTGAAATCGGAGAAAAGATACACCAGATTTCAACATGAATGCTTTAATTTCGAGTCTCTTTCAACCGTGTTTGTTTTTATTAAAAACTCAATTTAATTTATTTTATTTTATTTTATTTTATTCAACGAAATATTTTCTGATCCGTAAATCGTACCGTTCTAAAAAATTAATTATATGTATGATAGGTACATGGTCATTTTCAAAGAATGCAGCCCATCCCTTCACTCCTTTGTTCCCTCGGGTTATAAATATGTTGTTTAATTACAAGAGGTGTTTCTGATAGCTTATAAAAATAATCTATTGATTTATTTTGGTGTGACACCGGTAATAAGCACTTTTAAGTGTTTGGATAAACAACTTATACTGGTGTCAAACCGGTAACAAAAAGTTTTTGAAGAAAAGTTAAACCATTCTAACTTATAATAAGTTAATAAAGACTTATTATAAAAAAAATATAATTTTATTTCAAATAAGTAAATCCCAAACACCACCATAGTTTCCTTGTTATTTTATTAAAATGTAGTTTTTTAGAGTGAATTACAGATTTAGTCTCTATGGTATCTAAAATATTATGATTAACATCCCTAAACTCGGTTTATTATGGATTTGGTTCTTGTGCTTGTCATTTTTTCATGCCTATGGTCCCTATCACTAACAGAATTCGTTAGTCCGTTAACTCAAGAATAAAAAGACCAAAATATCTTCTATACTTTTTAAAAATGACAAAAAGAATGGTATTTTGGTCTTTTATTATTGAGTTAATGGACTAACGAACTTTGTTAGTGACAGGGACCATAGGCATAAAAAAACGACAACCACATGGACCAAATCCATAATAAAACGAATTTAAAAACATTAGTCATAATATTTTACATACTAAAGAGACCAAATCTATAATTCACTCGGTTTACATGATAGATGTGTTACTTAAAAAAATTGGTTAATTTGTGTAGAAAGGGTAATTTCTAAAGCTAACACCATGCATTAGATATTATATTACAAATTGTATTATAGTGGACGCTTACGATATTTTCATTTTAAAGATTCAAATATTATATATTTTAATCATTTCAAGAGGTTTTAAAAAGAATTAATATAAAATAATAATAACTCGATTTTATTGGCCGAAAAAAAATAATTTATTTCTTTTTAGATTTGGTTTTAAAAAAAACGTAAGAGTTCAGAATTATTCAATTTTAAATGATTAAGTCCTTGAATTATTATTTTTATTGAATAAAAAAAATAAAATTTCTTATCTTAATGATTAAGTCTTCAAACTATTTTTTTAATAAAAAAACCATTAAACTTTTTCATTTTGAATGATTAGGTTTCTATGCAATTTTTTTCAATAAAATTAATGATCAACTTTTAAAAATTGCTTATTTACATCATTTTAACTCAAAAACAATATTTGTAACCAACTAAAAATGTCTAAAAGCAAAATTACTAGTAAGCCCTAAAAATAGATCAAAAATAGGGAGATCGATGACAAATGTCAATAGTGTGATAAGTGATATGAAGAACGAACAATGATGGGGCGATAGCGAGTGGTGACAATAAGTGATACCGTTGTTTGTGAGGGATTTGAAGGGTGTAAGATTTGGAAACGATAAAACTGATTCAGGTTTCTTTCTTTCTTTAACGCTTTTCTAGTCGATAACAGGTAGCTTTTTTGTTAAATAATATAGGTAACCAATTTTTAAAAGTTCGATAGGTTATTTATCACAAAAAAAAAACATTCAATGACTTGAATCATTCAAAATAGAAAGTTTAATGGTTTTTTTGATTCAAAACAATAGTTTAAAGATTAATCATTCAAAATGAAAAAATTTAATGATTTTTTTATTTAAAAATATAGTTCAGGAACTTAATCAATCAAAATAGAATAGTTCATTTGGTTTTTATGAATTTTTCCCTTTATAAAATTCTTTAAATTTAGAGGTTTTTTTTCTAATTTTCTCTATTTTAAAGATTAACATAAAGAATTTTTTGAATAAAACAAACAAAATCTCTGTTTTCTCGATTCTAAAGTAATCTATGGGAGATGAATTTACTGAGTTAGGCTTTTAACCAATATTCCAAGCTCTAATTTGATTTGACCTTGGTTGAGTTAAATTTTATGGAATTCAAATGTTATGTGATTATACATCGAATGTGTATTCATGAAAACATGAACGTTCAACCGTGATTCATACTTTTTTTATTCTTTTTCTCTTTTAGCTTTATTTTACTGTATTGTATAGTTCTCGTAAAGGGAGAGTTTTCGATTGATTATCTGTTTTATGGGATTCACATGTGAATCTTCAAAGAAGTATACATATGATTTTAAACTATACACTTAAATTTAAAGGATTTTAAAAACATAAGTAATTGTTTTGTGATATAATAAAATTATTAGTATTGCCAAATATACATATATGAATATATTTGTTATCGAATTTTTGAAAATTATATCACAAAAATTGGAAAAGAAATATATGAACTCCTATAATTCATAACATGTTATCAAGCTTCTATACATTGTTATATTGAGTTCTACTGTTTTGTATCTTTTTATTGTCATATTATTATCACCTCAATAAACTATGATGAGATGGAATGAGATACACCAGATCAATTTCTGTATCAATCACGCTTCATTAGTCAGTTTGAGATTAAAGGTAATCAAGGGTCTAGATTCATTTTTACACTTTTTACCTTAACTCTCCTTCTGACACAATCATTCGTCTTGATTGATAAGATTAATAAGAAAATGGTTTCTTACTTATAACTATTTTTGTTTTTAGTCTTGAAAAACTTATTTTACTGTGGTTTTCATTTTGTTTTGTTTTTTGTCACGGGACCTAACTCTATTAAATCAACTAGTCTAAGGACATTTAATACATATGTATATTCTTGTACTAAAAAGTAAAATACACTCCCTAAAATATATTTATTTATAGTAATAAAATATAATATATCGTTTGATTGAGGTTGACATTCGATGGTTTTTTATAAGATTTCAATTTTCAGTGCATTAAACATCTGTATCAAGGGTGCAAACAGCAACGCCCTTCCAATTTGATCAGCTTTTTTTATAGACTTTTATTTCGACCCTTTTCTCTATCCCACCTTCCCTTCTTTTTCTAGCACACCATTACACAATTATGTATAAGTGTTAGCATTTTTATTGCCGAATTGACATCATTTTTAATTAATTATTAAGAAAAAAAATTACATTTACAAAAGTTGTATGTTTAATAATAAATGTTTGAAATGGAAGAAAGTGTCAGAAAGAGAAACGATATAGATGGAGTTAAAAAATAATAAATAAATAATAACTATAAAAAATGCGGCTTAATAGTAGGGAATTTTTTTTTAAAATTCCAATTAATTAGGATAGTTATATTACTATCTTATAAACTAAATTTATCAAAAGTTTTAAAAACTATTTTTCATGCACAAAGTCTTAAAAGTATTAAAAATAACTCATAATACATTAAGTACTACTATTTTATGCATTCAGTCTTAAAATCTCTTAATCTACAATTAAAATAGCATATAGTACAAGTTAACAATGCACATTATTATCTTTTCTTTTCAATTCCGAAGATACTTTCGACACATTTCACCAATGTCTTCACCCTCTCATACCTCTATGTCTTCTTTCCCATTTCCCAATGTGAGATTCAAACTGATATTCACCATAAGTTATTAAAAGTTCTCTCATTCAATTGCTCTAGAACTCTCGTTTTCGCTCTATTGATTCTATGCTCTCGTTTTCGCTCTGATATTCACCATATGTTGGATTTTCAATATATTGGATTTCAAACTGTCATACAATTTTTTTCATCGATAGACTGTAATTTGAACCATAACTCTTATTTATTCAAATTGTATTAATATGTAAAGACCAAGTGTAACTTATATCATCGTTAAATCTTCTATAATAAAACCAATAAAACTTCAAAATCGTTAAAATTCACGACTCTCATCATATTGCACGAATACACAACTAGTTTAGAAAATGGATAGTGTAAATAGCCTAACCCAAATTAAATACAATAGCTTTAGGAATAGAAAAAACCCATGAATAACTTTTCACAACAGTGTTCCTGTTAAGAATCTCATAAAGAATTATTTTAAAAACAATTATTAATGTGTTTGGTACTTAAATAATATAATATAAGGATAATTGTTCAGCATCCGATAAGATTTGATACGATTGGTAAAATGATTAATTTACTGTAATAAATTGTTTATAATTTTTATATGTATTTTGATTAATTCATATAATTTAAATAAATTATATGTAATAAAAT